CGTTTAAGGTCAGTATCAAGTTTCAGAATGTAACTCTGAATAGGAGTATTCTCAACTGATTCAGTTAAGGTTGAACTCAGTCCTGGACTGAGCATGTCCTTGCCTGATAAGGACGTAACCAACTATCACACAGCTGGCCAGTCACGACAAGTGTCAAGCTCATGCTGGTGTCGCTGCAGGATCAAGTAACTTGTTTCTGTAGTGTCAAACGACTGCATTAGAGCAGAAATCCATTGCTGGGGAACGATATCATTTGTCTCCAGCATGACCGTAAACGTATTAAGCGTACGGGTTAGCGTGTCGAGGTCACGATTGTTTATAAACTCGACCTGCTTACTGTTGGCATCCCAGTTCGACTTAAGTCGACTGATCTGTCCCTTGTACTTTTGGTTATCCCGGTGGTCTTGTCCACGTTGGGCCTGAAGTAGCTGATCGATACGTTTCTGCTTGATCGCGATCATATTAGCAAAATATAATACGTCATCGGCACGGTGCTCGTCATGGGCGATTTCCATCTTAGTGATGTAATCGTCGACCGATTTATTAAGTTCAGTCACCTCGTCAGAGTGAAAATCCTTTGCGGGTTGGTATAAGGCGGTGCGATCGAAGCGATTAAATTCGACATCGTTAACACATTTACGGGAATGTTCTTTCGGTGCTCTGTTCCTTGGATAGTCGTTGGTATTATGATCTTGGGTGATTCATGTGTCTGGGTGATATGTCCAGTCTTAACTGGCTTCCGACGATTGTCATTCCAGTTGGGTAAAGGTGGCGGAGTGTTTCTACCTGCCTCTGGGTCTATAATACCCTCAAGGATAGGCGTCTCATGTCCGGGTGTTAGAACAGGCGAATACTTAGCCTGGAGTTCTGGTGGCAGTACCTCGTAAGGTATAGATACACTGAGCACATCTGGGTCAACTGCCACAGGTTTGGCTCTTGAGCTTGCCTCCTCTTCTGGTTCCGGTATAGGTACCTTCTGAGATTCGCCTTTGTCCCCTATAATTGGGGACTTTTCTTTCTAAGTTTCGTCAGAAGAATTGGGTGGGACGTCTTGAGACGTGTACCTTGTCTCACTTCTTGGCTTCGTAAATGCGAGCTTCGAAGTTGAGGCAATAGTTGGCCCTCGGGTCCTATCTGTAGGAATAGTCTCCTTACTCGGAGTGGCTACATCCTTATCCGAAGCATTGTCCTGACTATTATTGTCGGAGACAAGTGCCTCGGCTACGGTGAGGTTAAACGCATCGGCAGCAGCGGCGGTTGCTTCTGCGGCAACGCTAACGGCTTCTCTCTCCATCTTCTTACGTTCGGCCTTGCGTTTCTTTGCAGGTGTATTGTCTTTCTTTGTCATAATCTTAACTTGTGACTTCAGTCTTTTTCTCTTAAGGAATGACCGTGCTTAGGAAAATTTTCGTGGTAGTTATCTACCTTTACGTTCAAGTAGTCTAAGTAGTTAATACCTTTGCTAATTTTAAAATGTGTAAGTTTCGGTCTATCAAGACGATATTAACGCCTTAGAGTAATTAAACGCTTAGGATAAGTCTAAGTAGAATTAAATTCAATGTAAATAACCGAAATGAGTCTTTTAGTAAAGTTAGGTATGCCTAATGGAAACAGCAATACTCTGAGGGATTGTGAGGCTGAGACATTGCCTATATATATTCCTCTCAGTACGGTTTTCCCCGAAGTGATTTTATTTAGTGTTTCGTTGTCGCTCTATTAGAAACTATGGTATGTTTCGTTGGGGCGAATCCGAGAGACTCATAAAATCCTATCTTTTGAAAAGAAAAGAAATACTCTTGATGTCCATAATTATTGCATTAACCAATAACTTACCACTTATCAAGAATTACCGACTTAGCCTTCATCAGACTGGCACATCTGGTTGGCTGAAAGGAGGATAAACTAAGCAACGCTAATAGTCCTTAGAAACCTATGTTCGATTGAGCCATCTCGCTACCGAAGTATTCAGATATAGATAGATTTGGGAAGCAAATATAGTTCTACTAATAGAACTACACCAAATCTTATGTTTGGTATTTTACTGGGGCCTTTTAATGACCTTGTCCAAATATCTGATATGTAAAATGGAAAAGGTATTTAATTAATAAAAACCGTTTAAACCCATTTAAGGAAAACATAAGTTTCCGTGCTTTTAAGAGTACGTTTTACATACTATTAAGAGTACGTTTATATTACAAGATTCTAATGTGGAGGCCCGGCTTTTACATACACACGCACACACACACACACACACACACAGAGAGAGAGA